CTGTATTTCAGCCTAATCTGACTTCGATGCCATAAATTCACTGATTTATACAGAAATGCCAAAAAAGTTATCAATAAATTTTCCTAATTTTGAATAAGCTGTCTACGTAATTGCAGAAGAGTGGAGTGATAGCCGATCTGCTTAGTGTTATGTAAAGAGGCTAGAGCTTCAAGTAGGCACTCTTACGTCAACTTTCCTGTATTTCACACAATAACGAACAAGAATAGATGAAACATTATGACAAATTGCACTAAAAAAGCATTTGTGGTGTATTGAATCAACTACATAACATTTTGTTTCAGCAAGAATGAGTTATTGGGGTCACAGTGTCCCAATTGTATTTATTTGCAAGGGAGATGACTGATTTAAAAACTTTATGAACTTTTTGACATTTAGGTTGAACATCTCTTTTAGTTGTTATTGTCGGAAACATTTTTGAAGGTACTGAAAGATGTAGAACATGCACAAAGAAATTATCCTTAAACTGAGAATAGATAATTCTACAGTCACACTCTGGGTAGTCAAGAGGTTAATATTCTGATTGGTTTGGGCTAAGGAATATTTTGAACATGCACAACTATCCTTAAACTGAAAGGTTAGTAAATAATTCCCATCATCTGACTAGAATAGATAATTTTTCAGTTTTGAAGCTGGTCAGATTTCAAGAAGCTGTCATGATATTGATGAGAGTTGGGGTTTGAACCCCACTTGGCCAAAAATGTTTTTGAAATCAGGTACTTAAGGCCAAAAAAATTTAGTGAGTCCTATTTTTATTGAATAGTTGAATTTTATAAACCCTATTCTTTATATTCTGATTGGTTAAGGCTAAATTAAAGGATCATCTCTAACTCCAAGAGTATAGATGAAGCTTTCTTTTAGAGCAGATAAATGAAACTTTTAGAAATAATAAGTTGAGCTAATTTATGCATATAAGTAATTGACACAAACAGGTCAAGGTCAACAGAAAACTGAAAGATGGAATATTCAAAATCAATGACATATCTAATCATGTTTAAAGGTTTCAATGCTAAATGTCCATGCAAGGTCATTCTGGTTTATCAATACAGTGAAACCTGTATATCTGAACACCTCTCTAATCCGAACATCCCTCATTGTGAACACTTTTTCTTGGTCCCAAATTTGTTATCTTCCATTGACTTAGATGTTTATAAAACCTTGAAATGTGAACACTTGCTAATTTGAACACTTTTGGCGGGTCCCAGAAGTGTTCAGATTCGACAGATTTTACTGTACAACACTGAAAGGTCCAACACTATTAAGGAACAAGAAAGTGAGACACGCTTCAGGGGCCATATCAAGATTATCGCCTATTATAGGATAAGTGTTAAGTTAAAAATGATATATTTATGGCACAGAAATCCCGTCAAAGATAAGTTAGCAGAAGTTCTTGCTAGGGTTCCAGATACAAACAAAAACATTGAATTTAATAAGGAATGAATTTTATATTACCCATCATTCAGTTTTATGACAATGCAGTCCATTTCATTCACTTTAATCAACCCTAAGGCTGTCTGTCTACCTGAGCTAAATATGCTAAATTATTTCGCCATTTAATCTAATTTTCATGGATTTCTAAACAATTTAGAGTGTTGACCTCATGTTCAGTAACTTAATTCCTTGTTAATATCACTCTTATTCCCCCCTGCTTTGATATTAAAATATAACCCCTCCCTTCCTTTTCAGTCATCTTGTGAATGTATGTATACTTTGCCATACCTTGGTAATTACAAATTTCCCCTCTATATGATAAATACAATGTATACCTAAGATATGCAAAACAATTTTGACCCTTCTACACTGCCATAGATTAAAACATAAATTAGCATTAAAATCATTACCCTATCTCGAAAGAATAGTGGGTTAGGCTGTTGTTGTATAAAACACATAACCATAAAACCTACTTATTATGACGCTTTCGGTTGATATATGACGGAGTAAATCACATCATGCTCTTCACTACAAGACAAATATTCTAAAAGCTAAATTTATTGGCAATTAAGAATTGTTTTAATCCCCTCGGGAGAGATTGAAGAAGAAAAGGAATACAGACCAAGATATATCACCAACCATAAATAAAACATGGTCAGGGTCACCATTTAAAATGTAAAATAAAGCAGATAAGAGTGAAATCAGCAAGGAATAAAATAAATAGGCATGTAGCTTAGACTTCAAATTGTATAGAAATTCAAGAAAGTCGGGTACTTTATTCAAATATTAAAGAGTAAAAAGTAATAATTCAAACAGACAGACATTTTAATTAGAAGGTACGAATTACTGCATGGCTGAGTGGATGAAAAGAACCAACACTAAGTTTACAAAGATATATATATACATGTACATACATCTTCTACTGGTTTCATTGTTATTTTGGAAACAAAACAAATCTATTTCAAAAGATCCACCCGAGAGGTTAAACACAAGATTGGGCCATTGTAGTAGGGTTATTGGGTAATTTGTCACAAAGATATCTTTTGGGTTTCATTAAAGGAACCTATTTTGTTAGATAACAGAATTTCAGATACTCTATTGACTTCTGTATAAATTACCCTCTGTAGTGAACACCTACCAACACTGAAAGAAAAAAAAAGAAAAAATGAGAAATTGTTTTTCTCAATCTTTCCTCATGTTGCACTATTTATCTGTAATATCTGAATATTAAGCAGTTGTATATGGCATGAAGATGATTTATTTTGATTTCCTAACATCTGTATTTGAATTCTATTTGTAAATATTACTTAAGATAATTTGTTTTGTAATGTAATAAATGTTAGAAAAATGTCAATGTATGAATGAAAGAATCAATAAATTAAAAATGACACCATATAAGTACATAACAAAAAAAGTACATATATATGATTATATGTACATGCTCCCAACACTCTAAGAAATATAACCAGGCATTAACATGCAAAATGTCACTACATGCCATTTGTTACAGACACCAACTGCCTAACACCATAAGCCAAAAAAACATCCACAAAAAAGTTGGAGCTGTCATCACTTGTGGTGGTGACATAAAATGCAGAAAAATGAAACACTTCATTCAAATCTTAGATAGAAATGGAAGGTATAAGCATGAGCAGAGGGACATTGTAGCATTGAGCGTCCTAATCTCAGGTATATTTACAAATCATAAGAATACTCCTCAAAAAAAAGGTCAACTCTCATTTGCTTGCAAAAAATAGGGTCCATGGTATTAATTTCTCCCAAAAGAGTAATTACAAATTGGAAACACAGAAAGATATACAAACAGAGATTCTGGACAAATCATGTCATTAAGAAACAAGGCATTAGCATGCAAAATGTCACCACCTGTCATTTACCACCAAATGTGTCCAATGCCAAACACCATCCATCCACGAAAAAGTTGGAGACTGTAAAAATATGTCACCACAAAAAATGGTCAAAATGGTTGTCTTGATAGCCAAAAATGTTCAGAGCCAAATCATAATACCTGAAACATACCATATGAAGTACTTCAGAATTTAGCTACACTTTAAAGATTTTCACTGGAAATGAAAACTGATGGGATAAATAGGAGGAATTAAATTAAATGAAGCGATGAAGTTTAAATGTCATAATGTCAGTACAACATGGTAGGAATTTATTACAATTAAGATTAAAGTACTCATTTAATTTCAAATCATTCAACTAAAGTTCATTTGAATCTAATTCATCATGTTTTAACGAGCGAAATGAACATCCCTGATAAACAAAGTAATTAGTTATAAAATGTCTGTCTGTTAAGCGTAATTGTTTTACATCATTCTCTTGAAAATTTGAATCAATATCGATAGTCTCCTCAATACAATAGTACAACTACATGCTGCATACCCATTTCAAAATTCCTTGGCAAAATCAGATTTTTAGGAGCAATTTTGAAATTTTTCAGGCAGAGAAAATGATTTGGGCTTCCCTCACTTTTATTGTGCCATTTGACATTGTAGTTCATTAACTAAATACATGTACAGTAAAACCAGTCTAGGTGGAACACCTTTGGGTCTAGCAGGTATTGATGAAAATGAATTTTACTTCTCAGTTTCTCTTCTATAAAAACATGCACACTCCCTCCAAAGGTTTGGTGCACTAAACTCTATTAGATAGCATTAAACATCAACAGTATGTAAAATTTATGAATGGAACAAATAAAAGGTTTCGTTCTAAGAATTTTCATCAATGCATGCTAGATGTATCTAATAACAACTTCAATATTGAAAACTCAAGTGACACATAAATGACTATTTATTGCACTCAGTTTATATTCCTTATACCCACATAATATACATTTCATTTGAATATAATTAATGTACATTTACAAAGAGCACTATTTCATCTTTGACATGAGATAACTTACTTTACAGAAAGAATGTAAGGGGTCAGCTCAAATAGCAATGTACTTTACGAGTGATTGATACTGTATGTTGACAAAATACATGAATATTTTGAAATGGCCCCTACTGTACACAATATCATGCTGGCCTCGTGGCTGGCTATACAGTAAAACCTGTCTTAATGAACGAACACTTGTCTTGAGGAGACACCCTTCCTCTGCACATACTTTATTGACTTCTGTACAATTACCATCTCTGAAGTGAACACCTACCAAGACTGAACATTTTTTCTTGGTAAAAAAGTGTTCAATATTCACAGGTTTTAGTGTATTTCCATCTTTACACATTAAGCATTGCCCATCAGATGGACTCAAGTATATGATAATATCTGTGAAAGACAGTGGTTCAAGACTTAAACAACATTAAGTTAATTATTTCTCAAAAATGCAATCTTTTTTGCTATATATACATATGCAGGAACAGTAAATATTAAATTATGGAATGGATTTTTCATTTATGTTATGTTTCAAAAATGCGAGAGATGTGTCTCATTTTTTGCAGAAAGAGAACTGACTTAAAGGCTAATTATCTTATTTCTCGCCAATTCCACTCATTCCTTTGCTATTTTCTACTTTGCATTTTAAAACCTAATTCTGTTGATGATATACTATATTTCAATATTCTCCCCTAACATATCCAGCGAGTGTATTTCAAGTTGCTCTTCATATATATCGCTCTCACTAGGTGTCACCACTAGGTCGGAATAATTATGCTCGTTAGTCTTTTTCTTTACTACTGGTTGACATAGCATTTGTCTTGGTTGACGTTCCGGTAATGGGAGAGCCTTTGAGCCTTCTGGAACTTTGCGAATGTCCTTTCTGGGGTCGTATATTCCGCTGTATAAACCGCAGATGATTGCAGATTCTGGGGTGTTACCTATAATGCTACTATGGGCCTCCATGAGGTGTCTTTTGAATACTGCGGTGTCATTTGTACTACAGCCTTCTCCGCAAGGTGGATCAGCCTTGGCACATATCTGGCAGACGTAAACGAATGCATTTGGATGACGGTTTGTTTTCAGGATGTGTTTACGAAAGTTTTCAAGTGTTCGTGACGAGTGGTCGCAATAGAGGCATTTATAAGGAGAGGCACCAGTGTGAGATTTCATATGTCGCGCTAGGTTTGTGCTATTCGTAGCTTTATACTGGCAATATTCGCAATGGAAGTTTTTCTCCCCAGTATGGGTCCGTCTGTGGCGTGTTAACTGTTGTTGCAGTTTCCCGCGGTAACCACAAAGATCGCATAGAAAAGGCCTTTCTCCAGTATGTACCCGCGCATGCGCAATGAGGGCAGCTTTATCAGCGAATCTGGTAGAGCATCCGGAGAAACTACATGCATAAAATTTACTATGGGTTCTCTCATGGGCTTTCAACTGCTGTTGGCTTACACATTCCTTTCCGCAGAAACTACAAATGAAAAACTTGGAATCTTCAGTTTTGATGAAATGTTTCCGATCAATGTGCTCATTCATCTTTGCTTTACGTATAAATGTCAAATCACATTGTGGACATTCGTAGCGTTTGTCTTGCAGGTGTAATCGTTTATGCATTAAATACTGCCCCGGGTCATGCATCGTTTTCTTACATCCGGGAAACTTACACATAAATGGACTGATATCATTGTGTATGTTGAGATGCGTGACAATGTATGATAGGCATAACGATTTATCACATTCCGGACAATTGACTTTCTTACTGCCTCCACGGCCACCTAGTACTTCATGTCCTTCCTCCGTTCTTTCTCGCTCTATATTATCGAAAAAATCTTTGTATTTAGCATACAACACTGTATTTGATTGAAAATGTAGCTGTTCATGAGTCAAAAGGCAATTTTCATCTTTATCTGTTTTTTGATAGAAAAGCTTACTGCAGTAGCGACACTTTGTGGCAGGAATACCTTCATCGCGAAGTTCTTGGTTATGAATATGTTTCCGACTTTTTCGGTGTTTTGCTAAATATTGTTTCGGAAGAGAAATTCCACATATTTCACACCCCTGAAGGCCGACACCATGTACTTTGATATAATGTGGTCTCAGAGCTTGATATGTGGGTGCAACATAATCACATTTATTGCACTTGGATCTATTTGGATCAAACGGAAGTTTTGGTCGCCCACGTCCTCGTTTCTTAACCTCGGGTTCTGTTTCCATGGCAACAGGTGGTTCTGGGTACATAATCCGCAAATGGGATTTGCTCTTTTTGTGCAAAGATAAGGTATATTTGTCGCAAAATTGTGTTTGGCAAGGCTCACATTTGAATGGACGTTCCTTTGTATGTTTACGTCTTATATGTACTGTCATTGCAAACACAGACTGGCATTCCACAGCACAATATGGGCATTTTGGACAATTGCGACCACGACGTCGACCTAGATTTAACGTTAATGATGAGTCAACACTATGTTTGCTTTGCATATGTGATAATAGTTTTGAAGCACTATGCATGGCCTTGTCGCATAATTTACAACGTATTCGATACCTGCATTCTTTTACAGTACACGGTCTCTTACTCCCCTCAGCAGTTGTTGTGTGGGGGGCACTTTGGATGTGATTGAGCATCTCAGTATTTGTGTCACATTTATAGTTGCATAAAACACACAATAGAGGGCCCAAAAGGTTGCAGCATTTATCATTGTGGGCTTGGCTCTTCATATGCACCTGCAGATAGAAAACAAGGTGATAACATGACAAAAGGTCACCACTTGTTACAGGTGCAAATGCTTTACAGTGGTCACAAAATGGGATGGCTTAACAATATGTCACCACTTCTTGATGGCGGCACAAAAAAGAAACTAAAAATTCCAGAAGTTTCTTATTTATCATATAAGAGTCATAAATAAAAAATAATACCCTTTTTTAATAACCAAAGCTACAACAAGAATGCCTAAGTCACAGGCGTAGCCAGGCATTTGCGATGGGTGCGAACGAATCATTTTTTGCAAAATTCAAAATAGATCTATAAAAAAGGCTCACTTATGCCACTATCGCACCACCCCTGACTGAAAGCTGGCTACCCCCCCCCCCCTGCAAGTGAACGAATATTACCTTTAAACCAAAGCATTCATCTCATAGCGTTTTGAGCTTACATGCTGCTTACTTGGTAAGCTATATGTAAGCTTTGAATTATTCAAATAGAAGGTTAAGTATCATATAATTCATGTATTACTTCTTGACATAACCTTAATAATAACTTACAGCAATATGTCAAATATATCTTTTCATCTACCAACATAACGTTCAGAAAAAACATCATAAAAAAATTAGGCATTATTTTTGAAGCTTTGATAATTAAAGGGTGTTATTTATTTATGCCTCTTAAACCTGTACATTGCCTCAGAACGCAATATGTGGACATATATTATTTTTACATTTTCATACAGCCAACAAGATTATTAATGACTAATATAAAGTTGGGGTGGTTATTAATTGTTGTTTCTGCGTAATATCAAAGCACAACCATTTACCAGTGCACATCATTTTAAAAGCTCTAATTCAGTAGTGACATCATATTCTAAATTTAGAAATCAATTTGTCACCGACAATCCAAGCAATCGAAGAAACAATCGTCATAATGACACATTGTTCAGAGATTTAGGGGTTGACAATTCGTATAATTAAAGGTATTTGGGAATATATATATATATCTATATAACATTTTCATAAAAATATTTTGGGAGTGGAAATTATGTGAACTTGAACCTGGAGTGTGATTTTTCCCTAGGCCTTAGTAATATCAATGCCAAGTCCCCTTCAGACTTAAAGAACTGTCCAAGTCTAAAACTTAATGTTTTAGAATTCCGAGGGCCGCTCCACTTACATCGATATTTTCAAATTTTATACAAAAAAGCCTAGATTTATGTCATTCGAAATTTCTCCATAAAAATGATCTAAATTTTTTCTTAAAGTTTTTAAACAATTGCCCAAATATTACAAATATCTTTCTGAACTACAGTGATCTTTATTTTGGGCTCCCATCTCAGTGAATGCCCTTCTTATCATTAAATTTCATAGGAATTAATATTCTGCCTTCAATGATCTTTAATGATTTGCACTTTAGTACATGTAGGTTTCTATGGAATTCAGAGTGATTACTCCATTTCAAAGAAGCCATGCCATTTATTTTACAGTACAACACTCAATTTTCTGGCATTACTTATTCATTACTTCAATGACTTGTGTAGGAGAAGCAACTTTGAATTATGGGCTTTAATGAAAAGTCATTTCTACCTTGTACATCCCTTCTCTACATTAATCAATGCTACACTACTCCCCCTCTTTTACTTTAAAGTACACATTTCAGGCCAGTGTAGCTAACTTTTGCCAAGGGGGAATTCACTATTCAAAAAATCGTAGATTCTTCACATTAGACATTAGACAACTTAGGCCAAAAATCACTTGAAAAGAGCTCAGAATGGCGAAAAACTGAATAATTTTTTACAATTTTTGGCCAACCTCTGAACTTTCCAAAATGGCTATGATGATCTCTCTGAGTGATCTCTTGTGATGAGTGGTTATACTTAACTTTCAAGTTGATTCAAGATGTAAAACTCAATTTAGAATGACAACATGTAGTTTTATAACACTTTTACACATGGGGAACAATATTGTACCTTAAAATCAGAAAAATAGCTACCTTCAAATTTCTCAACATGCCCAAAATCTAATCAGTCCTGAAGCTTTATAGTACCAAGAAATATTCTAGAAAATCTTGCCACCACCAACCAAACCATTGCTGATTTCATAAAAGTCAGCATTATTTTATTATTTGAGCAAGACCTAAGATCTGAAAAACAGCAATCATAAATTTTGATGAAGCTCTTCAGTCACATTTTGAAAGAAGAGTCCAGACCTGGTTTATATCAACAGTTAAGTCTATTACCGGAATGATTCATTTGTTAAGCAGGAATAATATTTGAAAAAGCTTTTTTTCATTTTAAAAGATGTACCAAAATGAAAGATAAGTCCCAAAAATTTTTCAGGTGACAAGATACTACCACACATACAATTCATTACTATTAAAAATGCATTCTGTAAGAGTAAAATACATTTCTACAAGTGTAAAATGCATTTTGTAATTGTAAAATGCATTTTTGTAAGTGTAAAATGCATTTTTCAAACTTGATTTGGCACAATGATGTACATTACCTGTAAAGTTTCTGCTGTATTGCAGTAGAAGTTGCAGACTCCACACTGCTGCGGACTCAGTTTCGTCATTGCCAGCTGGTACTGTTGTATATACTTAAACTTGTCTGGATGCCCCATGGCCCTACGTTGATGATACGTTGTCATCAAATGCTTCGCCATATTGTATTTATCCTCGATTGTTTTGTCACAGATGGTACAAACGAAAGACTGTTTTGGTCGGATTTCTTCTCGAGGGCTCTCTCCAGAATTCGGTTGTGTTTTGAGGCTGTTGAGATGTTTTGCTGTTCGGATATGGATTTTCAGATAGTCGGGTGATTTGAAGGCCTTAGCACAAATGTCACAGTAATTTTCTTTCTCATCACTACTTAGATTAGATTTTTTTGTGGATTGAAGTTTTCGTTTTTTGGATAATGGCATTGGTTTGTAGTTACGTTCAAATGCAGGATTATTGTCTTCATCATTGCTAGAATCTGAATCGCTATTGACATTTTTGAGCTGATCTATGGGGATATCAGATGACCATTTTTTCCCGCCTGTTGGCTCTTCCCTCACTGTAGGTCCCTCATCTTCTGTTGTTTCGTTAGTGATTTGTTTACCATGAGGCAGCCATTTACCCCTGTGACGTGCTTGTTTGCCCCCTGGTCTCCACCTCACCCTCGTTATCCCAGATCCAGAATAAGGCCCTGACCCTGGTTTCCATTTGCCGCCACTTTGAGGCGGTCGCCCACAATCTGAATCAGAGTCCAAATCTGAGTAAAAATCAGAATTGTAATTTTCAGAGTCGCTACTAAACCCCAAATCTGTGAGAATATTTGCAATTCTTAGAGATTTCTCATCGGGAAGATCGATATCTGATAAGTCGTCTACTTCACCGTCATGCTCATCATCATTCTGGTCAAATGTTTCCTTACTTTTTAACTCTAATGACGAGAAAAAATCGCTGACATTTTTGTTAGTGTTTTGCTCTAGTATCATATTAGGGTTAATAACATTTGAGCTGGGGCTGAGGCAGCCTTCCACAAAAGCATTGACATGATCCGGGACATCCACATCCAGGCCTTGATGGGGGTTACTATGGTTACTATTAATTGTTGCATTCCCATATTCTTGGTTCACATTGATAGTTTGATCATTTAAGTTTTGTCTATGATTCACATTTAAGTCCTGATGATTCACATTTAGTTGTTGTTCATTCACATTTAGCTGTTGCTGATTCACATTTAGCTCTTGAAGCTGATGATTCACATTCACATTTAAAGAATTAGTACTTAGAGAGGATGGATTATTCTGTGAGTTTGAAGGAGTGAAGGTTTGACTCCTAGCCGGACACAGCGATTTTTTATGGGTAATATAGTTCATCAATCCGACGATCGTTGACTGACAGTTGACGCAGAAGTGAGTATCGAATTCCTCTTCTAGCTCCATCTTTTGAGAAAAATCGGCACTACGAAGGCTTACTGCTCCTGGAAAAACGTAAAAGAATCAAATGATAGATAAGGATAAATAATTAAAGTTGTCTCTCATGACAACCCCTGTATCATATTACTACTTAAATAGATAAAAGACAATGTTTTTAAGAATAGCAGATTCATCAAAGAACATTTCATAATATCAATATCCCGAGTGTAACTTCCCTTGCAAAACAAGATATAGGTACTCCTAAAATCTATTAATTTCTGAAAGAGAAATACATACAGGAAAATACAAAAGATAATCTCTCTGAATCTTCTTTACTAGAATATTACTTCAGTTACAATGGGTTAAACATGTGTTAAATGCAAGTTTTCCGTGCTGGTTCCTTTTTCCTCGATGTCTCGTTATTTAAAGGGAAAAGAATTAATTCAAAGATATTTTACACCAAAGGAATTAATCACACCTACTGATTGTACATGAAGTGTTTTATCTTAATTAGCATGTAATACCCTGGTAGAAAATTTTTGACAAATTATTTCTGCAATTTTTTGCTTTCAATGCTGGCTTTTTGGGACATTCACATTAAAATGCAGACTTTTATACTTTTTCTTAATTCCTTGCTCATTAAAACTCTAGGTTATCAAGGTGGATAAAAACTAAACGAAATTGATATTTCTTCCAGTGGTTACGTAAATCAGCAAAGAGATAGCGTTGATTGGATATATAATATCAAAAATATGATCTCAGAAAATGACTGTTGACTACACACAGTTGAGAATTTGAAAGTGACATTTTTCCCTGTTGAAAAAAACAGAAAATTTTGACATGTCCTTAAAACATTTGCTTTGCGAATTTTTAGAGTAAAGGAATAACGGTCACAATTTTGGTCAAATTGGCATTTTTAAAATCAAATTTGGTATATTTCATTTAAATGGCAAAATTCGGAACTCCATTGAAAGAATAGAGTCCCCTCTGAGTAGTTAGAGCACCTCTTAAAGTTCCTAATAAAAGCTGACTAAAGGCCTAGTGACCCATCGTTCCAATGCCAATGCCCATTATAAAAGGGGGCTCAAGCCGCCCAAGCCTTCAATAAAATATTTTCACAAAAACAAAAAATATATTGATATATAATATTCATTTCAAAGCTTTAAAGAAGAGGGGAAGGCATATGTAATCCATCAATAAAACTCTAAAATATCAATATAAACTTTTTCAAGTTTTTTTGATAATTCAGTTCACTTGACATCAAGGGCATAAAACAATGAAAATAGTTGGAATCCATCGATATAATCATCGAATCATTCATTTCTATTTATTTGATAAAATCCAAAAATTGACAAGAAATTACATTCAATAATTATTAAGGTACACATGTGCGCTATAGTATTCTAATATCTGAGATCAAAGTTGGAAGGCGTCAAAACTGACGCGTTGAAAAATTACGTTCAACCCCATCAGCAATTAATTAGGCACCCCATGTGTATAGAACAGCTTTATAATGAATATATATTCTGTGACATTCAAATCATCACAAATTACACCGATTTCACAATATCTGTACTACTATCAATTGCAGATCAAGTCACAAAGGTAATTATCAATACTTGATAGGCTGTTTCCAATCATTGACATCTTTCAAATTTGACATGCTTTTAATTGTTTCCCTTTGTTTAATGAGCGCAAAAAGCCTAATGTCAGAGATGATATTTGGTAACCTGTCATGATATTATGTAGGTGTTTTTAATGACCGTTTTGTTGACAGATATTATTTAATGACTTTGCTCATCTAACATGCTTTAAGCCTCAGTTACATTTGAAAAAGAAATTTCTGAAATTGAAAATTTGGCCAAAAATTAAAAAATAAAGGACCCACGGTCCTGTGCTCACACAGTTTGGAACCTTCAGAGGAATATATATCCTGACTTTCAAACAAAAATATTGATTTGTATTTGTAGTCTCGAACTTTGAGAAACTTAGATAGCACAGTTGTGTGACCTAGTTTGATGACCTTTGACCTTGAAAATTTTACTTATTCAGAGATTACTAAGGTCTTTTGTGATTAAGCTGACCAAAATTTACATCTAAAAATCAATTTAAAAAAGCAACTTGTTTGACCTTTCGAAGGCCACTGAAGGTCAAGAAAACATATCCTAAAACTAATGTCAAATTTGAACTCCTGGCAACTTGTAGATGATTTTCAAAAAAAATTTGGTCAAATTGAAGCAAGTTGAAAAATAACTTATATTTACTGTTTTTTGACGTCAAATATCTCAAAAACGGTAAAGATTTGATGCTGAAATAAATATGTAGGGAATGCTTAAATCTAGTAATGATGTAATTCATTGCAAGAAATGATCAAGTATAAGGCAAACTTTGAGAAACTTATCAATCACAAAACCTGCCATTGACTTTATACATGAGAAAGTTTCCTGAAAATGAAACTTTGAGAGCTTTGAAATCTTCAGAGGACATAAGTTGCATATACAGCAACTACTACAAGTTATTTGAAAGTTCTACTTCAACAAAGTGTCTAGTATTTACAGAAAATTTGACTTTTTGACGTCAAAATCAGCAATTTCTCGGAAACCGGGCGAACTTGGGAAATGGCGATGATAGGTCAAATAGGAATTATGGATATGCATAAAATGAATGTAGATATGACTCAATCCGAAAAGCAGTTTTAATTTGTGCGGCCAATGTTGACGGATGGACAGACAGACCAACAGACGGATGGACGGACCAATGGACGGACGCCTAGTCAATCCCATAGGCTCACTGTGTGAGCCAATAAGGCCTAAAAAGGCCCAATTATGCCAAAAAGGCCCACTAATTGAGGCCCTAAAAATGGAGAGGGGCTGGACCCTGGGCCCCTTAAACCCCCAGTGTAATGAACAGTGATAATTGCATGAAACCTATATATTTTAATAAGATAGTTTTGTAATTTTTCCATTTTCTTTCATGACAGGGCCATGAGTACAACTTGTAATCTTCAAACTGACAATGTTTGAGAAACAAGGACTATCACTTGCTGATGCCCATCCATATCTTCTCGAAAATCAAGACCACTTTTCTACAAAGGCCCATTTTCTCAAAAATGGATATCATTTGCATTCATTCAACTTAGCTTCTTAAAAGAGAGCTTCATCTTCACTCTTTCAGTGAATTCTATCTGAATCCCGAAATACTTTCTTCGATGTTAAATGTTAAATGAAAAAGTAAATACCCCCTCCTCCATTCACTAACGGCAAGATATGATAGGCCACCTTAGCATGAACTTAAAATAGCAGAAATATATACATACCAACATGTACATTCAAATAAGATTTATTGATATGTTTTGCAAGCTAATAAGTCAACCAGCCCAACCTTTATACTTTTTCAACTCATATATCAACTCCAGAACTAATAAATAACTCAAAAATCTAATTATAAGTCAGAGAAGAGGCATATATTAATGGTAATATTAAAGGAATTTCTATGATAAGCTGTACTGAAACTAAACACAATTTGTACATGTGATGTGCCTATATTCAGGAATTACTAGGAATCAACTCCTGAAGTCAATAGGCTCTCGTGAAAGCCCATGATGAAATAAAATCATCTGCCCCATGGCTCTTAAGAGTTCTTGTAACTCTACATCAATTTTGTTTGCAGTTGCTGGTCAGGTACAAGGACCTTCACTGTTGCTAGCATTAATTCAATGGATGATGGCTAAGTTTTGTACTATCACTGCCAAACTAAGATAAAGCATAATAAGGAGCAAAATTCTACCAATCTGTGATACCTTTTAATGACAAAATGAGGGACACCCATTTGATTTTCTACGATGGTATCAACCTTTTGACGTTTACCTTTTCCAAATTATAGCAAAGCAGCATTAATACTTACACAATTTTTTTTCCTGATTTTTAGCAACCTGTTTAAGGCAAATTGATGAGAACTGTAGATAATCTAATGTTGCATTGATAATATTTATTTTATATATTTAATATTTATATTTATTATATCCTTAACAATTTTAAAATTCAGAAATGAACCTTTTTGATGTCACATATATATTTGTATTACATGTTGGTTGAAATGAAACATGACAACATACGGCTGTCATGGTAATGATGAAAACGGGCTCCATGGTGATAATGAAAACAGACTCCATGATGATAATGAAAACGGGCTCCATGGGCCTACTTTTCCATTGACCCAAACAAGTCATTGCTATTATATACAACATTAATCTCTATAGCCCTCATAATATAACATCCAATACGCTACTGCCATCTTTCTTCAGACTGAAGCACTAAAGTTAATTAGATAGCATCCTTTATTACATATACTGTAATCTAAAATTGTTTTAATAGCTACGATAAGTTATAGGCTTTCTCTCTAGAAAAGTGATCAAAATAAAGGTAAATCATGTCGCTGCCGCCTTTATAATTATTAGGATAGGCTGCATAAAACAGAATTATGAGTCAATCGCAATATGCTGGACAAAACCTTGTTATGATTCAACCTTAACAACAGTAAATCATCTAGATATAAGATTATAATTATGGGCAGTTATACAACCCCCCCCCCTCCCTGGGATATTGTAGCCTGTGTAGTCTAGTCTAAGAGAAACATCAGAACTCTCCCCACATTGGAATCTCTGAGGTACTGAGTCAGCTCCTCCATAATACAAAAATGCACTCTAATATTTCTAAGTGCTGCTAAAATCCTCCATACAAAACAAAAAACGAGATTCCTCAAATATTGCACTAAAAATTCCAAAACCGAAAATAACTGCATATAATCAGTGCTCTCTCCCAATTTTTGTGTGGAGGATTTTGTTACTTTTAAGTGCATAGTTTTAGAATTTGCAACATTTTATGCAACATTTTAGGACTTTTTTAGCAATATTTTAGGTTCTGTATTTTTGTGCAACATTTTAGGATTTTTTGATTTGGACTAGTTTTCACTAGCAGAATCCTGGGGTAGGACCATATATGGAGTTTTGAAATACCTAGCCTGTCTGTTATTAGCAATTGTATAGTAAATGAATTGAAACATGTAACTTCTGTAAATTGAACATTTGAAATATTTCTTATATATTCATATGTTTGGGGAATAAAATACATATGTGCAAATGGAACACCCTTGGTGTACTAAAAATTGTTCCATGCATGGGCGTAGCGCTATTTTTATGAGTAGTATGCCACAGAAGGGAACACGAGTTGAATGAAGCAAAAAATGAGCATTTGTGGGGGTCTGGGGTTTTGTCCCCCAGAAAATTTTGAAATTTGGTTGTATTTGGAGTGTATTTGCAACCACCTGTGTATACCAGGCGTACCTGCCCATGCCGTATATGAGGTACATTTTACTCATAGAGGTCTAATTATCTTTAAGTCAGTGGGTTATATAAGTTTAAAAAATGTTCCAGTTCTAAAGGTGTTCTGTTTATAAAGGTGTTCTGCTTATTAAGGTGTTTCACTAAAGGTTTTACTGGGACACATCGAACTGAGATTTGTATGAGATTACTTCCTCATGGGTTCGACCATGGGGTTATTTCGACCATGGACGTATATTGATATATGTCCATATTTCCACCAAAAATAATGATCTCACATATGATGGACTTGATCAAAGGCTTGAAGAGTATATAACTGTCTCCCATCCTCGCAAAATAGAGTATGGAAGTTGTTTGGATGCTGAATAACTGTTGTATGACCCCCAGGGTCTATTTTTGTGCAGTACAGAAATAAGTTGATAATGCAGGATTTTTATAAGAAAACAATAGATTTATAACATGTTGGAATGTGAAATACAACATCTTATGATGATGAATACGGGAACTAACAACTAGGCTTACCAAGAATTGACGAAAAATTGGGCAAAAAAGAAAAAAATCTAAAAATTCAAAACAATTTGTCCAATCTCGCGGCATTATGAGCTAGTCAGAAAATAAGTCAGTAATATACTCACACAACAATATTCCCCAATAAACAGCGCTACTTCATATTCATCGCTGATGTGACCTGCTGGCTGATTTATGAGATATTCAGCTAAATTTATGAGAAAATCCATCTACTTTTGTAGTTCTAATTTTACTCAATGGAGGGCGACACTTTCGAAATCCCCCACAATGCACTGAACATGACACAATTTCCGGAGGTTTTGGAGGCTGGTTTGGAATTCAGAGCTCCGTGTTTGAAACAAGATTTCTGCAGTTCTACAGGAGACACGCACATAAACTAATGTATACAAGGAGATAAATATATAGATAATGCCGAGACGCAAACAAATCTGCCCAAAACGGATGAAATGTAAGTATATCTTTGTCTAAGTGCTTGGAAATATTTTCGAGGATTTGACTGAATCAGTCAGTTTGATATGTTTCTACAATCTTTGTTTACATATATATCAGGCATCGTGAGGACCAATTAATCAATGTGGAGTGGAATGTATGTATGATTTTGAGATAGCAAGGAGTGTTAGGTTGAAAATTGATGATTTCTTACAAGGGTACAACTTGGCGTCTCTCTATTATAACACTGAAGACTTCACAGTTTGGATCAATCATCATTTCATCTCAACTGTCAATCAATGTCACTTTTAACTTGTGCAACAAGGGGAACAATCAATGCCGGTCATGCCCATAATGGAAACTGCAGGGCAAAAAACCCTTGATGTATTTGCATCATTCTTAGTAACATTTCACAGAGCTCTTGTATTAATGTATAGTTGACAGCACTGAATGAGTAGAGCGAAAAAGCAAATATAGAATTTTGCCGATTGACAGACAGACCTTTTATTGGCTTAACAAATGGCAAAGTTATATTTGAGTGAAGGACTAATTTACTGGTTATATTCTCTGCTAATAATCAATGCATTGGTACTTATTCTATAAATAAATGATGACATCTTGATCAAATGTTATATTTTGCGTTAATAATGTTATTAGAGACAAGACATTATGCAACTTAATTAATTTCTAACCTGGGTATTGTAACATATAAAACTTATAATAAAAGGTTACATTTTAAATTGCCAATTGAGATGCAACTTGCGAAAAATTGGATGAGTAAGTGTTAAATATTAATAAAGGGTTCAGGTGATTATGTATGCATGGTACCAACTGTACTGTACGTAGATAAGTAGAAAATGTTAGTGGCGTTTGATTGATGGGATCTGTTATCAGCGGCATGCTCACAAATAATGCCATTTATATTTCATAGTTGTCACTTTCTAGGCAAATAAATAACACTTAATGGCTTCGATTCTGGGAAACATTGCCTATGTTATTTTTTTATTACTCAAAGTATGGTGTGGCACAATGGCAATGTATACTTGAGTTAACTACTTTGGAAGTACAAGTTCTTTTCATATACTATGCCAGTTCAACTTTTCCTCGTTGTAAAATATAACATTATGTCACTGTGAATTGGGGATTCTATTTTCCTGTGGTTACGGAGCTCTGTAGGGTCACATGAGTAATTATCTATTGTTCAGTAGGAGGCATTTATTGGCTGTGAAAGATAGTAGGCTATATTGATTTGACAGCGTGCTGAAAAACTCGCTAAAGTTACAATAATATCAATTGATGAAATTGGCAAGTAAAACAAGTAATTAGTCGAGTTTGTTATCCCACAAATCTTAATTTTTCTCTTATTGCTTGTCGAATCATAAGTGTGTTCGCGACACTTGAATAGAAATCTAATTCCTATGTCATTCTTTTCAATTAGGTAGTGAAACCTAGATGAAGGTAAACATCTTTCTGAAGTGACAGTCTCAAATGAATACTTATCTCTTTCAGACTATCTCTACATATTCAGGTTCAAAGGTCTATTATTCCTCAATTATTCCCATTTACACAATTGGTTCCTATTTTAACAGTTCAATAAATGTGAATACATTCAAATGTTGGACTCTACCTAGTTGTTCATTTCAGCGATGTTTTTGTTTTATGTAATCAGTAAAGTCAACTCATCGTGGATTGTTTTGGTGTTAGATCACTAGGTATAAATGTCAAAGTTAAAAAAGTTTGACTAAATCAGTTATCTCTCATAATGTCAAAATTTAACGGAGGTTTAGATTTAGAAGGTACAAACATTGATATACTCTTTTAGATAGAATTTAAGATAATTGAACAATATTCTTGATATTTGGAATTTGTTTATATATAATTAACATTTTCCATATGGACACATGTAGTTTAACATTATTTTTTACTATTTTTCATGGTTGTTATATATAAAAATACAGTGAAAAATGAGAAATAAATGAAATATGTCACCAACAATAAAAATTGTATATGGATTATGGAAGAAAACAACACAATCAATTAGAACATCAAAGACAAACAGCACATAATAGACTCAAATAGATTTTTTGCTTGTATGTAAAATTGTTTGGATCAATAAATCTTTATCGAAATAACCTAAAAAAAATACAAAGGACATTTAGGCATGGGCAGTAAATATAATGCCAGGTATATATTTTGAAGAGCATAGTCACGTCAATGGAGATGTCACTTTGTATGTCAGAGACCATTACCTGTTTTTACCTGTTCGCAAAAACTAGTATTGTACATATGAAAAAGTATTGGAATTTGTAAGGTTTGGACTAGAGGTTTTAAGCACTTGGACTGTCACTAATTGTCAACTCAAATGTCAAAACATATTTTGAAGATTAAACAATTTCTATTTACTATATAATCTAAATGTTGAAATTGCATTGGTTTTTATAATATCTGATTTTGAACCTTGGCACTAAAAGTTATTAGTTTAAATCTGATTTTTGTGATATGAGAAATGCTGTTGTTTTACTAAATTGTAAATAATAGTGATTTGTCATGCCTTATGTCAGATTAGGCCCTTACATGTTATTGTTTATTTAGCAGATCTTTAGTGAAAAGACCAAACCATCTGTCTTTTTGCTTTAGAATATAGAATATATATCAATATGTATGTTTCACAATGATAAAACCCCAGAAATGTCAGACAATAGATGTTTTTGATTGATCAAATAGGTACTATTAAACAGATATTTATTTGTAAGGTCCTGAGTAAGATAAGATATGTGTAATAATCTCAATGTTTTTATTGGCAGGTGGTCACCTTGTGTACTATAATTGTAAAATCCAATATTTGTGTCTTCAAAACAAAAAAGGTCAAGTATATGTACAAGGATACTGGAAAAACAAAACAAATCAAATCTATACATATAAATAATAGGTATCCATATTGAACCAATATTACGAAAAGTCAACAATTTTAGCACAAATGGCAACATTTGAATATATATCAGATATCAATATTTTCATTTTGCCATATTTATTACTATTTATACAATCAAAAGAGAAGAGGTGAATTCCATAGAATAGAAAGTTATTATATTAGTCCTTTATCACGCTTTACCAGCCTAAGGTTGTCGGTATACTTTAGTGTCGTCTGATGTGATACTTATTCCCCTCCATTTCTCGATAAAATTTCAAAGAACTGGCTCTTTTTCTCGCATTTCAACATAACTTTTAGTGTTATTTACATTATTTCACTTTATTCCTTGCTAATTTCTCCCTTGTTCACTCTATATTTTGCAAAACAAAAATGGGCACTTCGACATATCTTCGCAGTTGAGTGTCACATATCTGTCATATCTTGACATTTCATAAACCTACAATCGACACTCAACACACTATTATATAAACACGCAGTGTTTTCCAATAAGTTAGTTGTGATGTCTAATATAAAATAATGAATATCATATTCGTAATAACATCTTATTAATACACAAATATACCAGAAATTGCCACGTTTTTTCCAACTTAACCTAAAGTCGCTTTTCTCAAGAATTTGATTTGACATTTTCAGGTATTTCTACAATTTTGAGTGTCATTTTTATGGCCAAATCTTCTACCAATTTGTTTATGCCAAGATGAAAATATGACCCCATTTAGAAAAGTATTTAGTTCTTACCTGTCTTACAAAGAGACATTAAAAATGCAAAATAGAGTGAAAAAATGAGAAATTATTTGAAAAAGTAAATAAGCAAGAAACAAAATTCAAAATTCCTGTCATACTAGATAAAAAGTACAGTAGAAAAGGATGACAATTATTGTGATAGGATAATTAGATAAAAATTCACAATTAATATCAGTACATCATGGCAATAGAATTTCTTTGTCTATCGTAAAAAATAAGATGTGGTGAAAATCCGCCTGGAATTTTACAAGAAATGAGGGGTTTCAATAAAATGTAATAAAGTTAGACTACCTTTGTATGCATTCAAAGTTATATTGACCAAGGTGAGATTTTATTCATGTACGTTCCAGTGTAGATCGCCAACAACCTGTCATTCTGAGACAATAAGTACAGACACCTGTCATTCTGTTCAATATTTGTTGATTTTATTATTGTCGAGTGTAGACCTCTCTTAGAAGTGTCCCGAGACCGAAATGAATTGTTAAAGTCTCGTTACTTGGGTTTCTAATTAGACAGGTTCCAATTTCAGAATATCTCAAGGGAAAGGGTTTTTGAGGCATTTTTTAGAAAAAGCAACAGAGCTATTTTTTCTGGATCAGTTTTTCATGCTGATAAAGATATTAAAAGATGACAGCTCAACGGGGTGGTCACGACACTGAATTTTAGCGTTTTTACCCCCCTAGGGAATTATTTTAGGGGGTACTATAATATTAGTTCATAACTCAAAGGATATATAAACTATTGTTCTGAGTTCTACAGCATACATTGTTAGTACAAAGATGAATACTACCTTAAAGTTATAGGTTGATATCTTTGTTGGTTTCGGAAAAATACAATTAATTAGAAAAAAATATGCAATTTTTGTCATTTTTTTCTTGCTTATTTTATATTTGTAGCTTCAAGCAAATTATGATAACTTAAACAGCTCAAGGTAGTATTCTAACAACATTCCCAAGCTATGTGTGATATTGTAATACATCTATTATAGTGATGAAGTACTATTTTGTAATTTTAATATGACTTTATAGTGCCCTACCCCTGGTAAATAGAAGAAAGTTGGTGTGGTTTTCTTCTGGTTTTAACATTTTATTGTCTTCTTAGTTGAAGATACAATCAATTCTGTCAGCTAACCATGAGAAGCTTTACAATGGTTAACTATTCCCATGAATAGAGGGTTGGGACCTCAAAAATACCAGAACTGTTAAGTTGCATCCTTGGGCAACCCTCTTCAGAGCATTTTCCTTATATCATCCGATAAAATCTGCAGGGGACACTATAATAAACCTATATATCTAAGATACTAGTAATGAAGATACTGAATTCAAATTTTCAGGATTTGGTCC